ATATTCACCGAGCAAGTCCACGTGCCCCGAAGGCAGGAGACTCAAGGAACAAAGCAACCTGCCATAGGGCCATGAGCCCACCCAGTGGCAGGGCACCTCCACCACTGACAGAATCTGGAATGATCTTTAAACCAAGCAAGCTGCTGACAAAGCTGCCCTGGGAGACCCCACTCCTGCCCTCACCCACCAAGGCAGCCCCTGGGCAGGGTCCTCAGCCCCCAAGCACCACCCTCCCCACCACGGCTTACTTACAGGGAGATAGGAGACGGGAAAGTCAAACTTGTAGTCTTCGGCTTGAAGTTTATAAACCAGTTTCATCATTGGGCCACTGCGTGGGCAATCCAATACAGAATGAGATAGGTGAGTGGCTGGCGGCCTCACTCTGACCGCCACGAGCAAGCACTCCAGCCCCCGCAGGAACAGACCTACCTACCCAGGGTCTAGGAACTCCATGGCGATGCTGTACTCCACAGGGTTCACCCGGCCCTGCAGGCAGCGCAGGTTCCAGCCAGCGAGGATGCCATCCAGGCTGCCAAAGATGCTCTCCACTAGCCATGGAAAGATGGTATGCAGCTCCTGCAACAGCACAGCGAGGACCACTACCCACCCCGCACCGCCCACCTCACTGAGGGGCCCCAAACAGCACCACTACAAGGGGGAGCCACTCAAAGACGACAGCCTCTGATTAAAATATTTTTTCCCCCAAGTGGGCCAGCAGTGTAGTGACGCAGAGGGTTAAGCTGCCACTTGTAAACGCCAGCTTCCCATACTGGAGCACCAGTTCAAGAACTGGCTACTCCAGCTCCGATCCGGCTGCCTGGGAACGCAGCCAGGAAGGCAGCAAAGGATGGTCAGCACCCCTGCCAGCCAAGTGGAGACCAAGGTGGACGCCCCAGGCTTCAGCCTGTTACGACCATTTGGGGGATAATGGAGGACCTCTCTGTCTCTCACCCTTCCTGTTGCTGCCTTTCAAATAAATAAACCTCCAAAAGGGGTGGGCAGAGCACAGCATGTTAAACTGTTGCCTGTGGTGTCAACATCCCATATGAACACTGGTTCGAGTTCTGGCTGTTCTACTTCAAACCTAGCTTCTCGCTCATGCTGGGGTCCGTGCAGTGGATGTGGGGGACACGAATGTGTGAAGAGTATTGTTCCATTGCAGGAAGGACCACAAGGAATTGCCCGCTGTATGGCAGGGCCCGGTGGATGTCTCCACAAACACCTGAATGCTGCTCCACCTTCCTCTGCAAGGATACCAGACCCCCCTGAGGAAGGATTTCTGTAATCTATTCAGGCAGTTTGCTGCTGTCAAGTTTGTGTTTTGCTATCAATGTCGCTGATAATATCTTGTAAAAGGGCCTTTTATGATTCATGCTGTCCCCACCCACCTGTGTTTAGGGTCTCATTCTTTACTTGATCTCCTTTTCTTCCCTTAACTGATTCAAGAGAGTTGTAAAATAAGAATTATAATAGGGATGTTACTGATTGATATGCACCTTCTATTGAGAGCTTTTAGGTAAAACAAATGACACATTTATTTTTTAATACACCCACTTGACCATGATGGCAAGTCTGTGCCAGAGCTCATGAGGGGGGTTTTCGGTGTAAAGAAAGGGGACAGCTTTCTTGCATTTGTCCATCATGATCGTGAAATTGTAGTGGTCCACTTCTTTTCTCTGAGCCTACTCCGCACACCCTTCTGAACTCAGCTGGCGCTAATGCACGTGGGGAGGCAGGGGTGGATGGTCCAGGTGCTCAGGTCCCTGGAGCCATGTGGGAGACCCAACCGGGGGCCCTGGGCTCGGGCCCAACACTGACCATCTGCAACAACTTGGGAGTGAACCCAGTGGATCAAAAATCTGTCTCTGCAATCTTTTTTAAACTCATGCCCTTAATCTTTTGTGGGAAGGGGAAGTTTCTGATATGAAAGGAGAACTTTTTAAAAGCGTGGCAGGGTCAGCTTTGCAGCACAGTGCATCAAACCTCTGCTTACAATACCACATTAAGTATCAGAGAGCCATTTTAACTCCTGGCTGCTCTACTTCGCATCCAGCTCCCTGCTAATGTGCCTGGGAGAGCAACAGGTGATGGCACTAGTACTTAGTTCCCTGCCACACAGGTGGGAGACCCACATGGAATTCCTGGCTGCTGCCTGGCTATTGAGGCTATTTGGGGGAGAAACCAGCAGATGGAAGATCTGGGTCACCCTCTCTCTGGGGCTCTGCCTTTCAAATAAATAAACAAAACAAAATCTTAAAAAAGTGTAGGAAACATAAACATTTCATTTCAAAATCAAGTCCTGCAACCTAACTCCAACCAGTTCTCATTTGCAAGCTTCCTAGGCGAGACTGACAATTCCAGGTATGTTGGAAATACTTGCCTTAAGGGTTTACAACCAAATCCCTTAACTCCTGAAGTTTGGCACTACTGACATTTTGGGCTAGTTCCTTTTTATGGCACTGCAGGATATTTCCAACTCCCCTGGCCTCCACCCACTCGAGGTGTGCAGGAGTAACCTGGGTGTGCCCCAGGACAGAAGCCAGCAGGACTGCGTACCTTTGCTGGAAAATCCTCAATGACTTTAACCAGGTCTTGGCACCGCTGGGCAAAGGGCTTATTTAAGGAGTCAGCTTTCAAGCTAGCCTGGAAGACAGAATACCATAAGATAAATAATCAATAGACGATCCGAGGTGGGACTTGACCCTGGACCTAACCTCTTGGCACCACGCTGAATGCCCAGTCCCCACTGTGTCCAGCGCGGCAGTGTCCCTCCATCTCTCACTGATTCAGGACTACAGTTAACACCCTGTGAACTGACATTCCGTCACTTCCTCCTCCTCCCCGTGCCCTGGGAAGTCAACCAAGCGGCATCTGAGTTGGCAGAAGGATTCTAAACCCCTAGTTCAGTGTCACGTCTATACCAAACCCCTAAAAATCAAACAGGAAAGACCACTGCGCCTGAGTGGGAAGAAGTCTCCAGTGCCTCCCTTGGTTTTGGGTCCCTCTGTACACGCACGCGCGCGCGCACACACACAACACACACAGCAGGGGCTACTCACCAGCAGGAAGCTGGGCTGCTGCAGGTGAGGGAATGCCATGGCAGCCTCCTGTGGAGGGTCAGGAAGAGTCACCCTAGAAAACCACTGTGGAAACAGAGAGCACCTCTTCACTTCATCACTCCGTTGGGGATGGTGGCAACTCAACCACATCGCACGGACAATACCCCATGTTCCAGAATGTCACTCGCACATGGTCCCCAGAAGTCGGCCTCAGAGCCGAGCTCTGAAGGAACTAACTCCTCAGTACTGCCCGCCTGGCACCTGCCAGGCAGGCCCTCCACCACATATTTCTTCATCTAAGCCTCAGAGACAGGCAGAACTCTTCCCAAGCCCTGAGACAATCCTGTCTTTCTCATTTGCTGCTGTGAAGCACTTTCGCATTTGCACTTTCCCGGGCCACAACCAAGGCTGGCATAATAGACTAATCCTCCATCTATGATGCCAGCATCCCATTTGGGTGTCGCTTCACGTCCCAGCGGCCCCACTTTCCATCCAGCTCCCTGCTTATGGCCCGAGAAAGCAGGAGAAGACATTCCAAAGCCGTAGACCCTGCACCTGTGTGGGAGACCCGGAAGACGCTCCTGGCTCCTATCTTCGAGTCAGCTCAGCTCTTGCAGCTTCTTGGGGAGTGAACCAGCAGGTGAAAGATTTTTCTGTCTCTCGTCCTCTCTTTCTAAAATCTGCCTTTCCAATAAGAAATAAGATTTCCAATAAAAACAGACCTTAGAAAACCTAACAGGGGAGGAGGCAGAAACCTTTGCTAATTGGCAAGAGGATACTTCTCAGGTGTTTTCCATTAGCAGGTAGGGCTGCTCCACTTCCCATCCGACTCCCCGTTCATGAGCCTGGCGCCTGTGCTTGGGCTCCTGCACCCACATGACACACGCAGAAGAGGCTCCTGGCTCTGGGCAGGGGCAGCCAGCTGAGGAGTGTATGTGTCCTCTCTGTGTAACTCTGCCTTTCACATACAATGAATCTTTTACGGTTGTGAACTAACAGTTCCAGTGTTCGGTAAAGATACCTCGGGCCTGATGTACTTCAGAGCCCCGGGACCTCCCTCCGCCAGCGGAGCAAACGGAGGCTCGGAGAAATGCAGCCGGGGGAGGGAGAAGGGTTGCGGGGTGACTCGCTCGTTCAACGAACGTCCACCGAGCACCTACCGGGCCTGGAAGTGGTAACCTCGGGGCAAAGCAGCAGGGAAAGACACAGCCCAGAAAGGAGGCATGAAGGCGGTGGCCCAGAGCCCGGGGGCTGCCCCGCCGGGGAACCCGGCCTGGGCAGAGACGCCGGCGGGGCAGGGGGCCGGCCCCGAGTCCCCGAGACGGCCTAGGCCGCGGCGAAACGCAGATGCCCCGGCACGGGGAGGCCTCGTGCGCGACTCCCACCATTCACTCACCTGGGGCAGCCTCAGAACTGGGAGCCGCCATTCAGCCGCCAGGCGCCGAAGTGTCGTCATCAAGCTGCGCGCGGCGCCATGCCTCTTTTAAGACAAGCGGGAAACGGACGATCACAGAGAGCGCCTGCGCAGAGCGGGCGGCGCGGGCTGCCGGCTGGGTGCGCCTGCGCAGTGCTGGCTCCTGTGTTTTTCCTCTCCCCCCACCCCCCAACACGCGCACCTTCCTCCATCTTGGCCCGAAGCGACCCGAGTGCGCAGGAGTGAAGGCAGTCGCCATTTATTAGCTCGCCCCCAGAAGCCCCGACCCCCGGCGTGTGACAAATCCACGCCACACGCGTTCCTCCAAAGCATACCTCCGTACACACACACATCTGACACACTGCCCGGCACACGGCAGGAGCTCGGCCAAATGTCCAAGGATGACCGGGCCAAGACAGGCTCCTGGCCTTCTGCCTTTCCGGCCAGGGCCTGAGGGGGCGGCGGGAGGGAAGGCCGGCGGCGGGCGGGCGGCGGCCGGGAGGCGGGTCCGAGGCGGGGCCTGAGCTCGGCCCCCGGCGCTCGCTGAGGCGCCGATGGCCGCGTCGGGCTCCGGCCCCGGCTCCGGGGCGACCCCCGGGCTGGAGGCGGCGACCCTGCAGAAGCTGGCGCTGCGGCGGAAGAAGGTGCTGAGCGCCGAGGAGATGGAGCTGTACGAGCTGGCGCAGGCGGCGGGCGCCGCCATCGACCCCGATGTGTTCAAGTGAGCGGTGACGAGGGCCTGTGTCGGTCTAGAAGAGCTCCCCCCGCCCCAGCTCGGGGGTCGTCGTCGGGATGTCTGGGTTGGGGAGAGGAGGGGAGGAGGCTCATGTCGCCACCGCCTTTTGTTCCCGCCAGGATCCTGGTGGACCTGCTGAACCTGAACGTGGCCCCCCTCGCCGTCTACCAAATGCTGAAGGCTATGTGTGCCGGGCAGAGGCTGGCCAGCGAGCCCCAGGACCCCCTGCCCACGTCAGGCTTGCCGGAGACCCGAGGTCAGAGCTGGGGCTCTGGTTCGCTTGCCCAGGCAGCGGCGGCGGCTGGATTGACTGGGGAGGAGGGTTGATCTTGGTCCTGAATGGTCAGGCTTGTCTGTTGGTCTTTTCCCAGGCCCATCTTTGCAAGGGCTGCACCTGCTGATCGGGTGGCTGGTGGCATAGTGGGAACCCTTTCCCCACAAGGTGGTCCATTCCAGATCATAGGGGTCATCTCCCCAGACACATGCTCACTAGCGTATGTTGCTGTTGCTGGACCTGCCTTTGGTCCCTGTCTTTGTGGCGGTAGCCAGCCCCTTGCCGGTAGCCAAAAAAGCCAGTTCCTACCCTAGGACTGCGGGTTCAGCATTCGCAGCCTCAGACTGCCCTGTGGCCCTGCCAGTGTTCCTCACCGCTACCATCCTGCCCTGAGGGGGCTGTGAGCAGATCTTGGGGACCTCAGAGGATGTCCTGGCAGAGCCCCTGGCTCCACCTCTCCTGATCAAGGGAGCAAGATCCTAGGCCAGCTCCCTGGATGGGAGTACCCAGACACCCACACAGGTGTTCTGAGGATGGGGTGGTGGGCAGGGGGCACTGGGGGGTGGGGCAGTGCCAAGGATGTGGGACTCCTGCCCACCTTGCCCCCACGTGAGAGCCACCCCCCGCCCACTTCGGTGCCCTCACTGACCCACGCTGTCTACTTTCTCTGTGTCTCTCTCCGACTTCCAGAGGCCTCCTTTCCCTCTGCCAGGAACAGTAGCCCCCCGGCAAGGCCCTCCTTTTCCTCGGCTCTGCTCCTCGGCCCAGCTGCCACGCCCTCACCTCTCTCTCCGGGGCCCCCTGCTTCCCTGCGGTTCTCTTGCTGCCTGTTCTCTCCTTTCGCAGGTCGCGTTTTACTGGCTTCTCTCCGGGTGGGTTGTGAGCTGCAAAGGGCTTGGAGACCTGGGGGCCACGGTTTCCTGGCTCAGGTTAATTGGAAGCATGGACCTGTAGAAATGTCTAGAATATGAGGTCGCAGCTGGCATCCGAGGGGCGGGACAAGCAGCTGACTCTGGGGTGAGGTTTGCCAACTGTACGGTGCCCCCTCCCAGAGAGGAAAACAGGCCCTAGGGGACTGAGGTAGGGGGGCCCTTAGAAGCTGTCCCCGTGTGAATGACACTGTGGATGATGGGGGCTGGAAACAGAGTCGTCCCCCCACCCTGCTCCTGTGCCCTTCCTGAGCTAGGGGTAGAAGGGACATCTTGGCATCACCAAGTATAGCCATGCTGGGCACCCAGATCGAGGGGAGGTGCAGAACCCCAGGGGACTCTCTGGTTGCCTCCACATGGTCCACCACCTCCACAGCTTGCATCTTTGTGCCCAGGAGAGTGGAGGCAGGGCCTGGTGCTGGGGGGTGGGGCTGCAGGCTGAGACAGAGTATAGTGGAATGTTCCTAGAACTCTCATCTCCCCAGGGGCTGCTGCTGCTAAGTCAGCAAGCCCAGGTGCCAGCAGCGCTCCGGGCACCATGGAGAGGTGACCACACTGTGAGTCCGGTCGACAGCACAGTGGCTCCATCAGCAACAACAGGAGGCTGTCCTACCTGTCTTCACAGCCACAGGAGGCCCCCACTGGGTGCAGGAAGCCAGAGTGGCCAGTAGAGGGCTGTAGTGCCAGCACCTTGGAGTGGCGGAAAGGGGGACTGGGACAAGCGAGGCAAACTTTTGCTTGGGTCCAGGCCATTGAGCGGGAAGCCAGGCTTGACCTGGCTGGGCTCAGAAGATGAGGGAGAGAGGGGTGGGGGCACAGCCAGGGGGAGCTGTGCTCAGGAGGAAGCCCCAAGCATCGGAGCAGGACGATGGGGACCAGTGGCAGCACCCAATCCTGCTCCAAGTGCATTAGGGAGTCCAGGGGACACAGGACACGGTGGCTCCAGCGAGGTGCCCAGTGCAGGCCGAGGAGTCCAAGTGGAGAACCAGGTGGTCATGAGGGAGGAGGGAACAGGAGACATCTCTGAGACCTGTGTGTGTCCCTGCATGGGCCGCACAGACCTGGTGGCAGAATCCACGCATGTGTAGACACTAGCAAAGCAGATGGAGCGCCCAGTGAATTGCTGACACCCCGATTTCCTGTCGAGGCAACACTTCCCCTTCAGGGTCCACACTCTCAGATGGCAAGCGCTGTGTATCCACCCACATTGCCCAGGGACTTCAGTTTAATGACTGCGAGGCCAAGGGCTGCTAACCATCCATATACCTGACTCCCGGAACGTGGCAGGCCGGAGCAGGAAGCTGGAGTCAGGAGCCAGAAGCCTGTATCAAACCTGGGGGTGGCGCATCCCGATATTTGAACCACCAGGTCAATTTATAATTAAAAAAATTTATTTTTGTTTGCCAAGCAAACGCGCACCAAGAGGTCTTCCATCTGCTGGCTTACTCCCCCAGATGGCCGCAGTGGCTGAGGCTGGGCCAGGCTGAACCCAGGAGCTCCATGCCGTCTTCCGCTGCTTTTCCAAGTGCCTTAGCAGGGAATCTAAGTGGAGCAGCCAAGAGTCCAGCCAGAGGCCACTGTGGCAATGCTGGCATGGCAGGTGCTGACTTAAACCCGCTGCACCGTACTACTAGCCCTACTTTTTTTTATTCAAAGGTAGAATTAGAGATCTTTCCTTTGTGGGCTCATTCCCTCCAAATGACTGCAACAGCTGCATCTCTCATATGAGTGGCAGGGGCCCAAACAAGCCCCAGGAGCCTTAGTGGAAACACTGGAAAATGGTTGTTATGCTCTTACACATGAGGAGATTGTGACCCAAACAAGCTTGTGTGTGTTCAGTTCACAGTTGTTATTTTCTGTCTGCTTCCAATCCACAGTGGGATGCACAGGTGCGTGTCGGCCCCCTTGGCTCACACACTTCATTGGCTGTTTCCATTCCGTGTGTAGTTCAGGTTGTATCCTGTGGGGGCAGCACAGCCATTCCCACTGTGACGTTCCCTGGGCAAACCACCCCCCACTCCGCAGTGAGCGTGTGGTGCATTGCAGGGGAGGTTTGGTGGGGAGGGGGGAAACACAGACCTCCAGACCCTTGCCCCCTAAAGTGTCAGCTTGGAGCACCCTGTGTGCGTCCTGTTGGATGTGCACCTGTTGTTGCTTAGTCTGTGTTCTGGAAGCCTCAATGAGGCTCTGGTTACCACACCAACCAGGCCCTGCCTGCTAGGCTTGAAAACTGCACTATACCAGGGCACTGGACTGTCTCCCCTACCACCACTACCGCCAGATCTGTGCTCCCCCCGATCTCTGGGGGTGGCCCGCTGTGTTGCCACCAGTGTGCCAGGCGCCTGGCCAGGGCTCCTGGAGCAGGTCCTGTTAGGGTGTCTTTGTCCTTCCGTAATATCAAGTGATCGCCTCAAGGTGGCGCTCCCGCACCAAAAGAGAAAGAGGGCGGCACTGGGAAACACCCAAGCTCTCATCCTAGCACGCCCTTGGTGTTCCACTCCCAGGCCTTGCTGAGTTTCAGTGGGGCTCTCCTAGGCTGTACCCAGGATGGAACAGGGGGCTGGTGGCAGGAAGGAACACATCCTGGCAAGCCATGGAAGCCACTTGAGGATGACGCAAAGCCCAACAGCTGCCCCATTGCTTGCAGGAGGAGAGGGAGACACAGACCTGTGTGGGCAGCCAAGCAGGCTGGCTACAGGCTAGCCTGGCGTGCCTGTGGAAGACATTGCAGGGTGACCAGAACCAGCCACACACAGAAGGGGCCCATGCCCACTAAGACCTGTGGACCAGAATCATGGTGGCAGTTGGTCTCAGAGGAAATGGGGTGATGGTTGGCCCACCTGTATCTGTCTGTGTCACTGGTAAATATGTGAAGCACTTGGTGGGAGCAAGGCAGAGAAAAACCTTAGGAAGCCAAGAGATGGCACCACTGTTAACTGCCTACCCCAGCCCCAGCAGCAGATTCCCTCATACCCTGAGCAGGAACTTTCCAGAAGTTCTCGTAAGGAATCCTAGGAGGCCGGTGGCAGAGCTGGGACCAGGGTTTCTGAGCTGCAGTTGCCTCTGCTTGCTGCAGGTGACAGGTGGCGTCAAGGACCCCGAGGGCACCCCCTCGGAGGGGCAGCTTTTTGCTCCAAGGACTCACAATTCCCCATTGCAGGCCATTTGATTAAGCTTGATGAGGAGGCCGGGGAAGCACGGGGATCGAAGGTCCGAGCCCACGGCTGGAGTCACCCCAAAAGTGGCAGCAGGGGAGTTCCCGAAGGGGACAGCCCCAAACTGTCCCGAGGTGAGGCCTGTTGGGATTCCGGAGAAGGACATGCTGGGTGCTGGAGTGGCCCTAGATGCCAACGAAAGGCGCTTCCCTGCAGGCGGGCTGCAAGCATGAGGTTGAAGGAGTTCGCGGGCTGACTTTGACATGCTTAGCCACTTTTGTGTTTCATTTTTTTTTTCCTTGCCTAACCAAGTTTCTCAGTAGTCTGCAATCCACAGGCAAGCTCTGGCTGCAGCGGGGAGCTGGGCTGGGTCAAAAGCAGGTGTAGAGAACTGGGAAGCCCTGCCCTGTGGCCCAAGCAGGGAACTCGGGCTGAGGCACTCCACGTGGGACAGTGCTGCCAAGCATGTCTTGTCCACTGGAGTTCCGAGTCTTGCTGATGCTGTTGATACCTTGAGCCTGGTAGCCAGTTCTTTCAAGTGGGCAGGGGGTAGAGTGGCCATTAGGCCTGGGGACCAAGTTACTGCTAGTTCATTAAACATCTGCACCTGAGTTCAAGCCCTGGCTCCAGCTCCCGGTCCTAGCTCCCCTGCTCACGTAGTCCCTGGGAGGCAGCACTCAAGGGCTCGCGTCAGTTTGACGTGCCACCCACATGGGAGGCCTGCCTTCTACTCCGGGCCCATGGCTTTAGTCGCACCCCAGCTTCTGCAGGCATCTGGGGAAATGAACCAGCAGGTGGCAGCTCTCCATCCCTCAAATCATCAGTGCATAAAGTCAGCAAGGAAGTTAGTGGTCCGAGCAGAGCTGCAGCCATGATGAGTCAGGTGGCCCTGCACCAGCAGCTTTATCTGAGGGTGGGTGACTGCAGAGGTTGGAAGGAAGGTTCCATTCAGTAGTGAAAGTGGGTCACTAATGCCCAGAGCAAGAGTCTGGACCACTGTGCAAACGCTTACCTCTGCTCTTGCTACGTGCCCTGCCTGGCTGGAGACTGACAGAAGCAGCTGGGATGGGTGCGGCCAATGCTGTGGGCTGGAAGCAGTACACTGCATGGGGCGGGGCTGGAGGCACAGAATGACTGATGGGCTGGACTTGCTGCCTTACACCAGCCAGGCTCAACTTCACTCCACCCCTTGACTCACGCCTGTCCCCTTGGTCACGGGCCTCCCTGGGATGTGCTGGACCAAGCAGTCCCTTGAACCAAAGCCGTGCACGGGGCATAGGGGACGCACGTTGGTGGGTGTGCTGTAACCGTGCAGGGGGCATGCCTGGTCCTGACAGGTTAACACTGTCTCCCCCACAGGGAGAAACAAGGGCAGCGCCACGGTCCTGGCAGAACGCAGCAGCCGCGATGGATCCAGCCAGAGGCTGCCCCGCCAGCCCAGCGCCAGCAGGCTGCCCAAGGGGGCTGCGCCTGCCAAGAGTCCAACTCGGAGCAACTCCTAGGACGGGAATGGCGACATGGCAGCAGCACGCCAACCTGCGCGGGTCCTCCACCCACCCCTCCTGGCACAGCTAAGGCTGTTTCCTCCAGTTGAAATTCTGAAATGAAAACTTGTGCAGAGCTGAGGGCTGGGGGTAGCAGGCAAGCTGCAGCTCTAATGTGCACTCTCAGGTTTTAAATGTTTCAAAGTGGGCCTGGCAGGATGGCTCAATGGCTAAATACCCACCCGGTACATGCCAGGATCCCATTTGGACACTAGTTCATGTCCCGGTAGGCCTGCTTCCCTTCCTGCTCCCTGCCTGTGACCTGGGAAAGTAGTTGAGGATGGTGCAAAGCCTTGGGACCCTGCACCCACATTGGACACCCAGAAGAAGCGCCTGGTTTTGGATCGGCACAGCTCCAGCTGTTGCAACCACTTGGAGAATGAAGCAGCAGATGGAAGATCTTTCTCGTCTCTGTATATCTACCTTTCCAATAAAAACTAATCCTCAAGCCGTAGAGTTCTGTTGTGAGGTCTGAGAGAGAAGATGCATCTTGTTGGGCCTTCCCTAGAAACTCCTTCTGTGACCCGATTGACCTCTCCTCCCTGCAGAGACACCCACATGGCCTAGAGCTGGACCGAGAACCCCAGCTGTCCAGCCATCACTGCTAGGGCCAAGGCCATGCTGGAAACTGCCTGCACACTGTGATGTGGGATAAAGGCCTATTAACCACTGGGCCAAACGTCCACTGCCACACCTCACACACACCACAACCACTACGCCCATGCAATAGTGACTCCCAGAGGCAGAGTTGTCTACCAGCCACTGGTCCACTCCCCGCCCCTCCCATGCCTGCAGCAGCTGGGTGTGAACCAGGCTGAAGGCAGGAACTCCATCCCAATCTCCCACAGAGGCGGCTGAAGTGCAAGTGCTTGGGCCATCCCTCCAGCACTTCCTTAGGCACGTTATTGTGCAGCTGGTTCAAAAACAGAACACAGGGACTACAACCAGTGCTCCAGTCTGGAATGCTGGGCTCATGGGTGGCAGCTTGACCTGCCTCCCAGCACCCCACCTGGAATCCACACTGTGTCTATATCTGCTCCCGCTGTAAGAGTCGACCAAAGCTTATCCAGCGCTATCACGGTGCATCTGTCACATGTCCAACATGGGGGAAGCGCTGAGCTAAAGCTTGGGTCTCAGGTCACACACCCCAACGAACACAGGTTTCCTCTGCTGTCACTCCCCTTACCTTGCAGGCATCCCGAGACCACGCTCGCCTCTGGGGATCAGGGGCGCTGAGCCAGGGTGCTGGTGCACACACTGTCTGCTGGGCCCTTAGGGATAAACTGTCCAACACCTTGTTTAGGAAATATTTTAAGGGCCCAGCGGCGTGGCCTAGCAGCCAAAGTCCTCGCCTTGAATGTGCCAGGATCCCATATGGGTGCCGGTTCTAATCCTGGCAGCTCCACTTCCCATCCAGCTCCCTGCTTGTGGCCTGGGAAAACAGTCAAGGACGGCCCAAAGTTTTGGGACCCTGCACCCGCGTGGGAGACCCGGAAGTTCCTGGCTCCTGGCTTCGGATTGGCATAGCATCGGCCGTTGCGCTCACTTGGGGAGTGAATCATCAGATGGAAGATCTTCCTCTCTATCTCTCCTCCTCTCTATATTTCTGACTTTCCAATAAATAAAAATAAATCTTAAAAAAAAAAAAAGGGAAACATTTTGAGAAACAGGCCAAAGCAGAGGAAAATACCTTTTCCCTCAAATGGCCTTAACACTCAAGGGGGGGGGAGGGGGCAGATGAAGCCAGCAGCTTTATCCAGGCCTCCCGTGTGTGTGCGAGGGCACAAAGCACTTAGGGGCTGTACCCCACTGCTTTCCCAGGCACGTTAGCAGGGAGCTGGATCACAAGTGAAGTAGCTGGGATTCGGAACCAGTATTCTGATAACGGGATACCAGCATTGCAAGGAGTAGCTTATTCCACAACGCTGGACACATACACTGCCCACCCCTCCACCCCAATTTTTAAGAATGACTGACTTCAAAGACAAAATGACATGAGAAAATGCCTCCATCTTCATTCTCCATTTGACCACAACAGCCAGGGCTGGCAAGGACAAGCTCAGGAGCCTGCAACCCCATCATGTCTTCTCAAGGTGTGACAGGGCCCCAGGGCCTTGGGCTGTGACCCACTCTTCCCAGGTGCACCAGCAGGGAGTTGGATGGGAAGCACGGCAGCTGAGGCTAGATCCAGCACTCCAACATGGGGCACCAGGGTTGCTAGGGACTGCTTAACCAGCCACCAGGCCTTTCACACAGTTAACACGCATCATTTTCAGTACTGTTGCTACTCCAGGGGCCACTGGTGGTGGGTGGGGGCACTGCTTCCAGGAGCCCGTGGAGCAGGAAGGTCACAGTGGGTGCTGTGGCCATGAATACCAAGCAGAATCCACTAACAACCTTCCCCGCACCTATCCACCCCAAAAATGTCCTTGCCCAAGGTATCTGACCCCACCATTCCAGAGCCCCGTTGGACCCCTATCAGCCAGACCTCAGATGAGATCCGGTCCCAGCCAGAGAAGCACCCCGACATCATTAATTCTACGGGGAGAAAAATCTGTCTTCCGGAAATGTCATAAACTTGCCAATTTGATTTTAACATGCTCAACATTTCAACTCACTCCAAAAGTCGAATCTATCGCCTAGGACCCTAAGCACTCACATACAGACACAGGCTTCGGTTGATACAGAAACTTTAATTGTAAGGGAAGAGGCAGCCTTCTGGCAGGGGGAGCAGGAGAGGAGCCTGCTCCTCTCAGTACTCCTCCCCTTCCTCGGCCTCAGCCTCCACCGAATCCACGCCCACTTCCTCATAATCCTTCTCCAGAGCCGCCAGGTCCTCCCGGGCCTCCGAGAACTCCCCTTCCTCCATGCCCTCGCCCACGTACCAGTGCACGAAGGCCCGCTTGGCGTACATGAGGTCGAACTTGTGGTCCAGGCGGGCCCAGGCCTCGGCGATGGCCGTGGTGTTGCTCAGCATGCACACGGCCCGCTGCACCTTGGCCAGGTCACCGCCGGGCACCACGGTCGGGGGCTGGTAGTTAATGCCCACCTGCCAGACAAAGGGGAGACAACAACGTGAGGCTCTAACCAGGCAACAGAGACAAGCCCAAGTCTGTGCCGTCCCAGGACAGGCAGGACAGACGGCAGAGGGCTGCAGAGTGCAGCAAGGGGCCCAGCGTGTCCCATCACCAGAGAACAGGACACACATGCTGTGCTCAACGCTAGGATCATCCACTCACTCACACGTACAGAAAGGAGCGGCCAGCCACTTCCGTCCCGCAGAACCACAAGGACTTTCCACGGATTCACACACTAGCACAGGATGTGTGATGTCTTTCTAGCTGCTGCTCTAAGTGGGAGAGAGTCGCAGCAGGTGTAGAAATGGACAGATTTAAGCTGACACACACGATCCGGTGCAGTGGCCTACGGCTTAAAGCCCTCACCTTGCACACGCCAGGATCCCATAGGGGCGCCAGTTCTAACTCCAACTGCCACACTTCCCTTCCAGCTCCCTGCTTGTGGCCTGGGAAAGCAGTGGAGGACTGGCCAAAGCTTTGGGACCCTGCACCCACGTGGGAGACCCAGAAGAAGCACAGGGCTGCTGGCTTCAGACCAGCTCAGCTCTGGCCATGGCTGCCACGTGGGAAGTAAATCATTGGACAGGAGATCTTCCTCTTTGTCTCTGTCTCTCTGACTTTCTAATTAAATAAATACATTTTAAAAGGAAAAACTTATACACACACCACAGGAGGTTCTGACAACCCGACAAATGGAACCTGTGTTTCTCACAGTGACACTATTACCCAGAAAGTGACCCCAAAAATTCCTCAGCTAGCAGTCTATCCTGTTTAAAGTCTGACCACAAACATTGTGAGGCTCAGAAAGTACGAGGGACAGACATCACACAATCGCTCTGAATCCACCAAGCTATGACCCACGCCTGGCCATGACGCACAACGCCAGTGTCCCCCCAGGGGCACGGGCACGGGGAAGCTCTCTTCCCAACCTGCCGCCCCCTGACCAGGATGACCGCTCACTGTCTCCCAGGCCTACCTTAAACCCAGTCGGGCACCAGTCCACAAACTGGATGGTGCGCTTGGTCTTGATGGTGGCGATGGCCGCGTTGACGTCTTTGGGGACCACGTCACCCCGGTACAACATGCAGCAGGCCATGTACTTGCCGTGGCGAGGGTCACACTTGACCATCTGGTTGGCTGGCTCGAAGCAGGCGTTGGTGATCTCGGCCACAGACAGCTGCTCGTGGTAGGCCTTCTCCGCCGAGATGACCGGGGCGTAGGTGGCCAGAGGGAAGTGGATGCGGGGGTAGGGCACCAGGTTGGTCTGGAACTCCGTCAGGTCCACGTTCAGGGCCCCATCGAAGCGCAGGGAGGCTGTGATGGATGACACGATCTGCCCGATCAGCCGGTTGAGGTTGGTGTACGTGGGACGCTCGATGTCCAGGTTGCGTCGGCAGATGTCATAGATGGCCTCGTTGTCCACCATGAAGGCGCAGTCCGAGTGCTCCAGGGTCGTGTGGGTGGTCAGGATGGAGTTGTAGGGCTCCACCACGGCCGTGGAGACCTGGGGCGCCGGGTAGATGGCAAACTCCAGCTTGGACTTCTTGCCGTAGTCCACTGACAGCCGCTCCATGAGCAGGGACGCGAAGCCGGAGCCGGTGCCGCCCCCAAAGCTGTGGAAGATGAGGAAGCCTTGCAGGCCCGTGCACAGGTCCGCCTGAGGAAAAGCAGACAGTGTGAGCCACATCCAACCTGCCGCTGGCCCCGCTCACGTCCCGTGGCCCCTATGACTTGACGCAGACTCAGGGTGGCCACATGGCAACTAAGCAGAGCACACGATGAGGACCCACGGGTGCAGTGCAACACCCACCTTAGGGTGAGACCTCTGCAGACTCGGGCCTGCTCCTGCTCCCGCCCCTCCCAGGCTAAGGCTGTGCAGGGTGGGGTGAGGGCATCCCCTTACCAGCTTGCGGATGCGATCCAGGACCAGGTCGACGATCTCCTTGCCGATGGTGTAATGGCCCCTGGCGTAGTTGTT